CAGTTTTGAAAAACTTTGCAGAAGTGAGTTTCCAGAGTAAATGAGGAATTAAAAGAGGTTCAGCTCTGCAGCACGTATGGGAATATTCTTTTCCCAGTATGTTGGGAGACAGAGGTACATCTTCACAGTAGTGGGCTATTTATTTTTATTTATAATCTCATCTGAATAGCGGCAAGGGGTGCTATTTAAGTAAAAGTCCCTGAACTGTCAGAAAACCAAAGCAGAAAACTTGGCTTGCCTAGACAGGAGTAGTTAGATGTGCTCAACAAGTGGCAGGATGGGATAGTATCTGTGCAGATCTGTGAGCTGCAATGTCCCAAGAGAGCGGTTTGCAAGAGACACCAACCTCCGCTCAGCTGATCACAGCCTAACATCAAAGCAAGGACTAGTCTTCATGTGATACTGGTTTGATTCATCAGCTTTTCACCACTGTAAGCTGCAGCGTTTCTTTGCATCTCAATTTCTTCTGTCCAGCTGAACCTCTAATTATGGAAAGAGAATGCTTGTAAAGCTGCTGGTCCCTAAACTAAACAGTACTGAAAACTTTGCCTTCCTTTTGCAATGTCATCGCTTGCTACACTATGTTCTGTTGCCCAACACTCTCTGCAATGTTCCCAGTAATCTATAAATTTCGAGGAAGAGCGTAATATTGCTGTTTGGGATTGCACAAGATAGCTGCAGCTACATTTTCAGCAGTTCAGTACTGAGTGCTTTCCTCTGGTCACTGTCAAAAATGTCATCAGAATTTCCTCTGATGGTAGAGGGTCAGTCTGCAAGGACAACCGAAACGAGAGTTATGCATGTGTCAAATTCCATGGAGCCCCCTCCACAGGGTCAAGGGGTGCTGAGATAGGAAGTACCCGAAGGTGATATGATGGCTATTTTTCACAATTTTACTGTATATTTTTTATTGTTTAGAGGTTTACTTTATAAAAACTGCTCTGCAGTATTATGTGAGGATCTCAGCTGTTGAATTTAAATGTAAAATTTAGTTCTTGTTTTTATAGGTACAAGAGAATTCCCAAGAGTTAAAAAGAAGAGAACCAACAAAAAGAACACAGTGGTTTTTTTTTTGTTTGTTTGTTTGTTTTTCCTTTTTTTTTTTTTTTTTTTTTTGAGCTGATCTCATGAGTTTTGGTTTCCTGATTCATGATTCTGTCATGTTGGTGGTAATATGGGTGTCATGTAATAGAAATGAACAGTCCCTCCACTTTTTTTGCTTCTGTCTAAAGTGTTGTTTTTTTAAGCACACAACTCCTTTAATATTGGTTACTAGGACTAATCACACACACACAAAAAATAGTTTTATAGAGAAAGAAACCAAAAGAAATTCTAAGTGCAACTGTGTTGTCATCTGTGTCCGATCTTGCCTCTAATGTGGCTCCCATATTTAGGGAAGATTTCTGCTTAATGTAAAAACTGTTGACTCAAAAAGGAAAACATTTAATTCTGGGCAGTATCCAGCTTCTGCTCTCACTTATTTGTTCCTGAGTCATTTCTTTGTTTGGCTGACTTTTAGCTTTGATGAGGATCAGGAAACAATGAGCCTGAATTGTGATATGAATTTGTTAGTCAGGCAACTTGTACAGCTTTGCTTACTTAAATTCTGCGGTACTAGAAGCCTTGTTTCCAGAGCATGAAAAGCATTTCAGATGCATTGGGGTGGGGGGAACATAATGCTATTGCTTCCAAGTACTGCTTGAGTGATGCCCCAAGCTTCTCTACTGCCTGTGTCCAGTCACAATACAAAATAAATATGAATAACAGTAGTTGGAAACCACATCTCTTTCAAACCCTGAATGCAAGACATTCTTCCTGAATGTGGATGTTATCAAAAAAAGCAAACTGAGGAAGTGGCCATCACCATGGAAAATAGATGAAAAAAAAAAAGTAGAGCTTGTAAGCTTGTTCTAACCACTCACACAAAGAAGGGAAAACACCCACAGCTAGAATAAGGTTCTAAACAAGCCCTATTCCTCTTGAATTCCCCTCATCCTGCAAACATATTCACAGACATTTTGCATTTTTCTTTTACCTGTAGAGCTTGGGCCATATCTAATGGAACTCCATAGATGTCCAGTCAAAGATTTGCCTGCCCAGGCTTTTAGTTCTCCCTCCACAGAGAGGCCAGGTTGGATGGGGTTTTGAGCAACTTGATCTAGTGGAAGGTTCCCTGCCCATGGCATGGGGCTGGAACTAGATGATCTTTCAGGTCCCTTCCAACCCAAACCTTTGTGTGATTCTGCAGTTCTGTGACTTGTGGGATGCTTCTATCAATCGCTGTTTGACTCAGTACTTGACCCAAGGGCAGTCTTTTGGTTTGTGGAGATCTGAGAGGAGGAGAGTTCTGCATAGCTTATAAAGTCCTTGACAAGTTCAGAACTAAGCATTCACTAGAAATCTTCGCTTAGTCCCTATGAGTTTTTGGACTCTGTGTGTCATCTGCTCTCAGTGCTCACTTTATCTATTAACTTAGCAACTATTTCCATTTTAAGAATTTGGGAACTAAAGCCCTCTATTTTTTTATTTTTTTTTCCTGAATGCTACTTAGAGATACTGGGTACTTGATAAAACATGCTGAGCACTTTCAGATTCAGTATTAAGTAATACATTTGCAAAGTTCATGGATGAGTTCTGTGTAATCCTAGATGTGATTTCACTGCTCTACCAAGGAGGCATGCAATTCCTTGTTCCAAACAAGGAAAGTAAGGAATCTGCTTTTCTGGGGGAAATTTTTTTTCTGCCAATGTGGGGAGAGTGTTATCCCTTTTCTAGTTTCACCCATCCCAGTTCTGGTGAACATGCTCTTCCGAAGGCCAGGCACAAAAACAATATTCTCATTCTGCATCTTTGGGACACACCCACACACACAGATGCTCTCATCAAGGATATTTTTCGTTCTCTCTCATGATCAACTGAGTCAGTGCACCTAGTCAGCAGCTGGCTAATATCATGCCTTACAAACACAAAATAGGCCACCACAAGTCCCATGTGAGAATAAAGCCCATTGCTCACTCAAGTTCTAATCTAAATTGTGGGCAGAAGTGAAGAATAAGACTAAGTGTTGTTTTTTCCTTCTTTTTCAGTCCTTCTGTTCTCTTAAAACCAGAGATGGCTCTTCTAGTGCTGTAGGACTGACAGTCTTAGCTTTTTCTTTTGCTCATCTGAAACCTTCTGCAACTCAGTAATTAAGCTAATAAATAACTGCTTGTTTCCCTGATCCCTTAAAAAGGAAGAGAAACCTTTCAGGAAGGCAGTAACACTTGCATATTGTGAACTAAAACCACTGTCTCTGCATCAAAACAATAACCTCTTTTATTTATTTTATTTAATTAATTATTTTTTAAACCAATTTCTACAGTTGTGAGCTATGGTGTCCTGTTAGTATCAATGGGTCTGCTTGTTCAAAGTGTAAAAAACATCCTGAGTGATCTCCTGGCTTGGAGATTTGAGACTATTTCAAACTGAGGCTTTACCACTTGTTTTCTATTTCTTTTTTACTTGCTTCTGTTTTTATGCTTTTTCAGACTAATAGTTACAGTTTGAGCAGATTCAGTAAAAAATAAGTTAATCGGTTGAATAGATCAGGGTCTTTCATATCATAAATCTAAGTTTTTTTTAGAAGACGGAAGCTCATCTTAGCAGTTAGCATAGTGAACTGATGTAAATGTCTGGAAATTAGTCATTTGAACCATGTCAGAACTATTCCAGCCTTTCTGTTCTAGGTCAAATCTTATCAGATTTATGCTAATTAATTTGCATTTTTAATAAATACTTTTGTTACTCAGCAATGTTAGACCATCATTTCCTTTCCCACGTTGTCACAGCTGTAGGAAGGATAGGAGAAGAGTCTGGGATGGAGATTGGACTGTAGCCATGTGCTCTGATTTCAATGTGCTCTGATTGATTTTCTGCAGCTTGAAGTCAAGATCTAGCTATAAATTACCAAAAAGTGTCCTTCTGTTAATAGTCCTGGAAGCTCAGCCTAAGATGTGAAGATCAAACTCTATTCTTTCTTTGTTTTTTTTTTTTTTTTTTTTTTTTTAAAAAAAAAAAAAGCAGTGTAAGTAAAGCATACAAGTTCACTTTCCTTTTATGTAACTAACTGGGTTGCTGAGCAATATAAAAAAAAACAACAGTGGAATTAAAATGTAAGGTCTGGAAAGATATTTGGTAGCCACATATGAAGTTTGCATGGCGTGTCACAATAATCAGCATATTTCATAGTCAGTGAAAGGTCTGGCCATAGTATAAGTAAATAATAAATTCATGGAAACATGGAACCAGATGGGTTCCAGTTGCTGGGTCCAGTTTCTGGGTAATGTTGATACCATGTCAAATACTGACTTTATTGATGTCTTCAAGTCCAAGTGTAAAATGAGTTAGGCTTTTGATCCTGCTACCTCTGTTTACAGCTCTTCTAGATCCTCACTCCTCCTTGAATTAGCTACCTTAGAGTTCCTAGACTAAATTTATTTACAGTCAATATGAATAACTCAGTGACCATTTGGTCTTTTACCTGCATTGTCCTAAGCTATAAGTAACTCTTCTTCACTGGTTCATTTATAAAGATCATGCTCAATATCTCTCAGTCCTTGTTTTTAAAAGCTAAGCAAGTCGAATTCTTCAGTCTCCTCTTGTAAGACGGGCTCTCCATTCTCTGATGTGCCTCATAGTACCTCCTTTTTATCTGTTCCTGTCTGAATGTGTCTCCTTCCAGCAAAGTTTTCAGAAAATTATTGCACAGATGATGTGTAACTTGGTTATAGCCATAATAAGACAGCCTTTTCAAAGATCCTCTGAAATGACCATGACAGAGCTGAGAAACAGCCAAACCTCTCCTTTCCCCTCTTCATCGTTAGAACTTGCTCCTTATTTTTCAAATACCGGTGTTTTGCATTCTACAACCGAGTAGATTTTACTCTTCATCTTTCTTACCCTCACCAGGGAACCAGGTGTTTTGTCAGGATGTATTGACTGATACTGTCTTTCTTTTCCAGGGAGGTTCAGCTTTTTCTCCATCATCCATTATTACTAAAAGAAGAGCCCAGACCCAAGCAGCAGTCCTGGCTGAGGAAGTGGGATGCTCTTCGTCCACAAATGGGGAAATTGTAGCCTGCCTTCGCCAGTTGCCTGCTCGTGTCCTCAATGATGCACAGACTAAGGTACACCACAGCAATACATATGCAATCATATAAGGAATCAACAAGAAGTTTCCACTGACATAAAGCATTGAGGAACCTAAAAATATAAATTGGGCTGAATCCTTGTGAAAGAGGAACCGTACTGGCTTTGGTGGAGTGGTGGTGATGTCCATGACATCTGTCTCTGACCTATGAATACTCACAGCTTAGTTCTCCTTCAGATTGAAATCCTTTTACTCTACTTGGAAGACTACATGTCTTCCAAAATTAATCCCAGTACAGTTTTTTCCTTCTTTCAGTCTCCTCTAATCTTCCCATGGGTGTTACTCTGGAGAAGAATCATGTTTCTGCAGCTCAGTTCTTGCAGAAAAGGAAGGGGGGAGGGATATCTGTGCTGTGTCTTAAGTGGGAGGCTTGTGAAAGCTGCAGTACAAGCAATTCCAGAGATGGGTCCTTTACCCACAGATTAAAACACCCACTGACAATACATTACTCAATCAGGACCAGTGGAGAGCCAATCCCTAATTTGAAATACTATTTCTATGACTATAAGACCATGAATTCTCTTGGCCTATTTCAGCTCATTTTACCTACTGAGTCTGTCAGTAAAAGTATTGCTTCTTGCAGTGATGAGTTTGTGCTTACATTAATACATCACATGTTCACTTTGAGGCTATCAGCTCAGTTCTCTGAAACATAATTAAAACAGAAATGACCAGGGTAAGCTAATTTAACTGTATTATTATTATTATTATTATTATTTTTTATTATTATTATTATTATTTTTGCTAACCTAGCTCTTAGCGATAAGCGGCCCATTCCAGTACTGGGGTCCAGTGATGGATGGAGTTTACCTCCGGGAACCTTTAGCTAAAGCCCTGCAGCGCTCTCAACTTCGGAAAGTAGATCTTCTCATTGGAAGTGCTCAGCAAGATGGGCTGATCAGCAGAGCTAAGGCAATTAAGGTAGGAAGAGACTAAGAAGCTGATGGTATTGCTATTATTTTAGTGATGACAATAATCATATGCAGCCAGGACAGCTGCTTTTTGGCTTCTACAGTTTGTGAGTTATACTCTATGGAAATATGTGAAGGTATTGTCCATCTCCAGCCAGTCTTTAGATGGATTAAATGAATTATAATGTTTGTTGATAAATGCTTCTGGGGGAGATATGAAAATATGAGAAATCAGCAATGATTTAACATGTATTTATATGGAGCAGTATGTTTTAGTGTCTCTAAAATCCTATTAGTATTGCAATGTCAGTTGTACCAGACTAAGAAGAAAGCAGGCTCATGTTAAACTTATTTTGTAGGTTCCTCAGTAAGGAACACAGCTAAGTCAATCTGTTCCATGCCAACCTTTTTCAGTGATAACCTTTTTTCTCCATTGTCCATAAGATATACGCTCTCTTGTAAAGGTGCTTCTGAATAAGGACTAGGTATAGCTAAGAAAAGCACTCGACTGATATATAAGAGCTGAGATTTCAGGCCATAAGCTGGTGAAATAAAAAATAATTGGTACTTACCAAGCTGTACTTTGGACATAAGTGCTCAAAAGCTTGAAGTTCTTCCTGGAGGAATTGCACTTATTGTGAACCCTTTGTCACTATCTGTTCTTGAGACAGCATATCAACCTCTTCTAATTTACTTGCATATCTCTACAATGGGAACTGTAGCATTTCCCATTTAACGTTATTAAATTAAATTAAATGACAAAAAATGCTCAGATATATGTTAAGAAATCAATAGGAGAACGTAACATGGCTGGGATTATTTTAAAGGTTATCTAAATGAACTGCAAATCTGTTGCTATCTTTCTATAACACTGGGGATTTAATCTCTCTCTCAATGAAAGGTCAATCCTAGCTTCTCTTTTCTGGTAATCAGTAGCACATAGACCAATTTACTTCAGGATTAATGACAAAATTGCCCCTGTGACAGAAAGCATTTTTGATCAATATGAAGAAAGTTGATATTGATTGTTTTGTCTCCATCAGAAGTTTTCTGCTGTTGTTTCATGTATTCTCTCTTGAAACTAATTAAAAGTGGAAGTCAGGCAGAGGAAATGGACTGTGATCCTTGAGGCTGCAGATACTGATCTAGACCCTGTAAAAGAGCAATAAACCTCAGTAAGCCAAGTACAAGTCCTGTGAGAAGATTAGGAAGTGAAATTCTTTCCTTTACCACTACTTCCACATGTAACAGTTGTTTGTAAAACAGAAATGAAATTCCTTGGTGTACTGGAAGTCAGGCAGCAAATCATGGCGTTAAAGAAACCCACAACTGCGAACATCCAGCACTGTCACATTGAAATGAAAAGCAGAAAAAAACAACTTTAATCAGAGCTCAACAGTAAAATGTTGCCTTTCAAAAAAGAGAATCGAGAGTATCTTTTTATTTTAAAGGCTTGCAGAAAATAATTTTGAAAGGGTACTCAAAGTTGGTGCAGCTCAGCCTTAAGAAATGGTTGACTACCTTAACCCAAGAGACCTGTTTTAAAATCTCTTACTGTTGGAGATCCCCTGATCTCCCTTGGAAAGTGTTTAACTATCCTTACTTAGAAGGATAGTTAGCTTCTTTACTGGCTATTATAATATTACATGCCTTATTTGGTTTACTGCTGTAAGTCAGATTCCATCTCTGCTCCAAAAAAAATCACAATATTCATGGTAGGCCGTTATATATTGTTTTCTCCATTTTGACTTCCTTAAGCTCTTTTCTTGTTACTGAAAATTGCTGAATTTTTAAGCCACGTTTTCCTCTAGTTCTATCTTCCTGTGTCTTCATGTTTTGAGGGCTTTAGGGAATATGACTGTTTTGAATGGTCTGTCTTTCTATCTTCAGATTTTTACTTAAAGATATGCAGTGAGGTTAAAAATTCCTGATTTTTCCCTAGTGCATGCACTTTATTAATTGTTAGGAAATTTTTAAATTTCCTGCATCGCTGAGCTATTTGAGCATTGCTACATCATAGCTATGACCATGCATGGTTGCAACCAAAGTCAGATGACAAAATCCTGAGTAGGCCACAAACACATTTAGCTACAGTGAAAAAAAACTGGTGCAGGTGGTGGTTGTTACTGAGAAGTTTGTGCTTTGTCTCCTCTGTCATAATGTCATATGGGATCCTTCATCTGTGCCAACTCTCCTCTTCCAACAATAGACCAAAAAGAAGGATTTGAGACTACCCACACTGTGTCCTACTCTTCTACTTTACAAATTTGGAGGCTTCCCTTGATGTCAGTCTGACTTGCATCTCTCTGGGAACACCCAAAGCTTTTTTCACTGATATGCTAAGGAAGGTGGGGTGGCTTGGCTAATGGTAACCATTAGGCTCAACTCAGGTAACCAAGACATTGATCCTAGTTTACCTCTGACTACAACAAAGTTATTCAAGCTATTCTATAAAGAGGGGATCAAACGTCCCTGGGGTAAAGCCATCCCTTCTTATCAATCAATATTGCAACAAGGAGAAAATCCACCTGTGACTGTGAATGTGCTCCAATAACATAGTGAAAATAACCGTGCATTTATTTGGGCAGATAAAAGTCACAGATAAAGGGTACTGTGGCAGGTGTATGGAATTGGCAAAGCCCTTCTTTTCCATCTGTTTTAGGATGATTTCTTTAATCATCTTTCTTTAAAGAGACGCTTTTACCCATTTAGATGCAAACAAGCTTGAGACAAGATGCAAATCTTATCACCTCAGATTTAAGTTGCACGCAAGTTTTAGAAACTGCTAGCAGTCAAGTCTTAGGAGTGAGACTTAAACCTCTAGACTGCAACTAGACCTGAAGATGAGAAACACAGTTGGCACCGTGTTGTTCTGTGGGGTCTTACTGGCATTTGGTTGTGTTGTGTGCATCTGTACTCCTGCTGTAAGACTACACTTATGACTGGTAAGACCTCTAGTATTAAAAATGAATAAGAATGACAGAAGGTATGTGAGAAACCAGTTATGTGCTAGCAAAACTCAAGTTTTCTAGAATGCCCTTCTCTCTCTCTCTATATATATATATATTAATTGAAAGCTGAGGTCACTTGATGATGCACGTATCAGAGAGTATGCTGAATATTTGTGCCTAATATCTTGCCCATGGAAGTGACTGTTTTACGGCATTCACTCAAACGCTTCTTCATGTGAACTGAGATAGATTTACCACTTCCTGGAGCATGTTGTACTCATCCCCAGTATAGCCATCTGATAGTTAAGACTAAGTGAGAACCAAAACAATGGTTGTTTAGGGAACAGCAAGTGGTACCATAATGCATTATTATGTGGCATATAGAGCAGTTAAGCCTTAACCTGTTATCACAATTCCCATGGCAGACCTTCAGGGATATTAGTGGTGTACAGTCATAGATTAGGATAGCTGAGCAGAAAAATCTAAAAATATTTATTTAAATTCCCATCTGGGCAAAATTTTGCCACTGTGCTAAATGTGATGCTCAGGTGAGAGAATATAATAGTTCCCATTGGCATTATATGTACAGATTCTCTCATGTTGATCTATATCTCTGATTGTCTGAATATGCATGTAAGTTAGTACGGCCCTGTTTATGTCCTCCATATGTTCTGTACCTTCAACATAATCTCCATATTGCAAAGATTGTTGACATACTTTTTAGCTGGAAGACTAAGTTTGCAGTGTGTGTGTTTTATTTCTCACCCTAGTACAAATCTAGTTGGCTGCAGCACCCAGAACCAGGACATAAGGGAGTGGATAGACAAAAATACATGTACAGTTCATTTACCCCATGTAAGCAAATAGATCTATGCAGACCAGATCTTCTATCCTGTACTATAGTACTGTCAGTTAATTTCTTTATGGGTAAAGGTATTCAACAGATGGCAGATGTGTATATATCAGCTGTAATGACCTGGGGAGCAGTGTTCTGATAAATTCCATCAGTGAAGAGAATGGGTTGATATCAGCTCTTTACTTCATATTGCAACTAGCTGGAGTAACTGAAACACTTTGCTGAATGGCTAGCAGGATTTTTCAGCATCTTTTGTGATGACATTAGAAAAAAACACTTAAGACCTAACACCTTTACATACTGTGTTAGTGTTATCACTATTCCAATTTCTCAGAAAAGCATGTTATGCCCCTTGGAAAATGTAAACATCTATTTACCAAACTGCTACACTTTCTTTTAAAATAAAACACTGTACCAGATTCACTCATATGCTCCAGAAGCCATCCTGCAGCCACAAGAACAGTAAACATTATTTAGCTCATTATTTGGGTGTTTATGACTGTTTTGCATAACCAGAGCAGTGAAAAGCAACGTGCCTGCTGACTTTAATTATTTTCTTACCTACTTTCTAAAAAAATATATAAAACCCAATTATAACTATGAGGTCTGTTGTTCATACCTCTTTAAAGGTTAGCAGAGTGTAAATTATTTTACATAATGTGCAGCTGTTTCTACTAATCTGGTAGTAGCTGTTGCATCTGCTTGAAAACTGTTCCTGGGTTGTATAGTTTCAAAGGGGAAACATTTGTTGGACATGGAAAATTGGTCAAATCAAAACAATTTCTGAACAGTTAAAATGGTTTGTCTTTTTAATGTTTCATGGATTTTATTTTGACTGTATTGCTTTGATTGGTGATATCACGTTAAATTCAGATGTTTATATTACATCGTATAGTATCAAAAGCAACACACATTGAAACATCATATTTCAGAATGTGCAGTGTTAGTGCTGGTTGGGAAGAAAATCTCAAAATGTCTTAAAAATGCCAGTTCTGTTTTTCATCCAGCTCTGCCTGTTGAGTCCTTTTCCAGCTGACTAATCACATTGCATGGACCCCACTCAGTTAAAGATTGCTAAGAAAGGTCACCAGAATTTTTGGGGCATTTTGAAGATCACAGAAACTAGTACATAGGCACACTAAAAACCTAAAAGCGACCGCACTGAGTCAGATCAAAGGCCCATTTAGCACAGAACACTGTTTTCAGCAGTGGCTAAGACTTGGATGTTTGTAAGAATAGGGCAAGCAAATATGATACTTTTGGTAAATGCTCACTGAACCTGTAAACTTTGTAGCTTAGCGACTTCCTAACCTGAATCGGTCTCTCCATATTTAATAACCATCAACTGATTCTTTTTTTTTTTTTTTTTTTTTTCCCGTAAACTTCCTCATGAGACTTCATCTTCACCAGTTTTGATATCCCCAACACCATGTGGTAAAGAGTTCCTCAGCTTAACCATGCACTGACAGACTATCTGTCTCCTTCCTCTCTGTTTTTCAACCATATTGTTTATTTGATGCTTAGCAGTTGATGAGGCAGTGAATGATCAGTTCCTACGATACATAATCAATAATCTCAATTATTTTCTTCTTTCTTTCTCTCTCTGTTTTAATTATCCATTACAGGTATAGAAAAAAAAAAGGTAGCAAATCCTTTAAAAACAAACAAACAGAAATAAAAACCAACAAACAAAATGAAAGCATGAAAATTGCTTTAAAACATGAAATTTCATGAAAAATGCTTTACATTTATAATCTTGGTTTCTATAATGACACAGAAAAGCATGTCTTTTTGACTATAGTTGCTAGTCAAATCCACCAGCCCCAATCACCAAATGAAAGATTCCAGATTAGACAGCAGCAATGTTCCAGTGGTTAGTAGCATGATTTAAAATCTACCAAAGCCAATGAAAAAGTTGCTTCTGAAATCAGTGAATTTGCAGTCAGGTCTTCAGAGATAATTTCCATTTCTTGCAGAAAAATATATGTGTCCATGCCATATGCAAACTGAATGATTTTGCAGGCAAGTGTATAATGCAGTTTCATATGTGGCTTTTGTGCACTTGAAATACCGTATCAGCTCTGAGTTGCAGACCTTTTTCGGAGTACAGCCATGCTACTAAAACTGGCACTACATGACTCTTCAGTTTGCATGGGCCAAAATGTAGCAAAAGAATTATTTATTACAAAGAAACTTGCCAAGATCTTTTTGGGCATTGGGATTTTTGGTAGTGTTTTGAAATCCCTTGTAAAGTCATTTAATCACACTGCACAAAACATTAGAGCGCATCAGTAAAGACAGGCCTAGGCATCAGCAGTGGGGGACTTATTTTCCATCTTTCGTTTCTGTGAATCTGTTGAAAAGTAATTATTCCCTCTGTACTTTCTGTGTAGGGTTGTGGAAAGACCTTCCACATGATGAAAACCAGCTGTGGACCATCAAAATAATATACTCAATAAAGCATCTCTGCTAACCGAACTGGGCAGACACTGGCCTATTTTGTTTCAGACTGGCTGCCCAAAATAATATAAATGGTTTATTAGATCTTTCTCTCTGGAGCTCTAATATCAAATTTCATCCAGTGTTCACCTGTAAGGTGCTCTCTTTAGAAAGGACTTGATCCACAGGAACATTCAGGCTACAGTTTCGTTTCTTTCTAAGGAAGTTGCTCTGTTTCTGAACTTGAAATAAAATCTCTTTAAATAAATAAATAAATTTAAGAGTCTGAATTGATAAAATAATAATAAAAAAAGCTTCCTTAGAGAAAGATGTGCTGAAAACTTCCCACAGTCTTTAACTTTGGTAAAAACAGGGTCAGATAAACAGTTTGGCATAGGAAATGGTCCCCCTGCTATCAATAATTCTGCAGTGACGTGTCCTGCTCTGTGGGAAATGCCTTTATGTCAAGAACAGTTTCAGTCTCTCAAAGTAATGAATAGGGCATTTCACTCACTGAAAGCAGTAGGGGGTTATGATTTTTGAAGATCATGTCTGCTACTTGCAATGGGTTTTAGAGGAGTGGGTTTTCTCTTCAAAGGCTAAGGCAGATAGTATTCCAGGAGAGACCTAAAAAATGTCCCCAATAAACAAAACACATTTCTTTGTAGGTGTTTACTGAAGAGTGATATCCCCATATGATAGCACTCGAATTTCCAAAGGAAAGGAGCAATATCTCCCTGTCTTCCCTTTAGGTTTCCTGCATGAGTCCTCAGGACAACGTTGGGCACATCTCCATTAAGGAACTATCTCTGTGGACTATTTCTGTGAGAGTCAGTTGAGTTTCTGTAGTATTAGAGCTATATCATCACAGCGCTGCACCTAAAATTTGGGTTTATCTGCTTAGGGAGTCAGTGTGGTGGTTTTACCCATAGTATGTTTTGAGGAAGCCAATCCTGCTGTCTCATGACAATCTTGGGAAAGCAAATGTAGGAATGTCACCTATTTCCTCCCCTAAATCAGAGGTCATGATACAGAGGACTCATTCCAGCAAAGGGAGATCTGAGCCTGCATTTTTCCATAAAAAAGGGTTTATTTTGTTTGCAAATTCCATGTGTTTTGTTCTCAGAAATTTGAAGAAAGTCAAGGAAGAGCCAACAGCAAAACAGCCTTTTATCAAGCTCTGCAAAATTCTCTTGGAGGCGAAGACTCTAATAAGTTCATTGAAGATGCAGCTACATGGTATTACTCCCTTGAACACTCAACCGATGATTATTCTTCTTTTTCCAGAGCTTTGGAAAATGCCACCCGGTAAGAAACTCATCCTATGTATGACTGTATGATATGCAATCATGCAATTGTATGATTAGGGTTAAGAAAGGTTTGTTTTGCTGATCTTCCGTGTGCATTAGTATTCTGAATAATTTGAGAAATTTTTATGCAAATGCACAGAAAATAAGGAACATGATTTCATTTTCTATAAGTCTTCCAAAGTCATTGTTAAACAGAAACTGAAGTAATTTTTATCCTTTGTGAAAAGTTTGAGTTGGTTTTCCTGAACCATATGTTGGATTCAAATTACTAATGCTTCTTTTTTACACTCTTTCATATCAAAGATGTCTTGGTAGTATGCACACTCTGCATCAAATTTTCCCTGAGCCTTCTTTAAACTGGCTTTTGTTCAAAAGCAATGACCCAACTACACATTTTGCTGTTTTTTCCTACTTTTTTGAAATTTGGAGACATGACACTTGCTGTTATAGACTGCAGAAAAAAAAATATTGAGAAACAGTACTTTTTTTTTTATTATTTTAAGTGCTTGTTTAGGTATGTGCTACTGTTTTTTGTTTGTTTGTTTGGCGGTCAAGTTTGAAAATTTTGATTTCAACAATTGTGTGAAGGCTTATATTATGAAACTTGGAAAATACATTTCTTCAAAATGTTAGGCTTTCTGCAGATTAGTCTCCAACATAAAGCACTTTGTGAATGTGCAGAAAATAGGCTCTCAGCACAATTCTGCCTCTTGCTAATCTCCATTTTACCCATAGCAGAAGAATATATTGGGTCACATAGTGGCTTTGATATGCTTTACCCAGCAGCAGGTGGAGAGCTACCAAGTAGTCTCAGATCATTTCTCTGAAAGGAGGCAAACTGAGAGGAAATCTTACCTCCTTTTTCCTGCCTCTGTGCAAACTCTGGGGCTGAATGTTTAACTGGAACAGATCTTCAGAAAAAAGAAAAAAATAGAAAACACTTTCCTCATTCTTTTCTCTGTTTCGCATGCAGATTAGTTACAAAAACTCTTTCCATTTCTAAGGTGGTGTGTTTTATAATCTGGTGATCTGAACCCAATCCATTTCACCTCTGTTTTCAAGTGCGGCACCACATCTACAAGCTCCCAGTATCTGTCCTCTCAGCATTACAGCTTTCTGGCACACCAAGGGCCTCTCCACGGGACTTCAGAGACGAGGCTTTCCTTTCAGTAGGCCTTTGTCCTCCATGAGAATCACAAGCGGTTGCTCCAGGGGAGCCTCGGGGAGTGGAAGATGAATAGGAGCCAAGAGTCACTTGGAAACATCTGATCTAAGACAGCAGTGACTAAATCTGTTTGGGAAGTCTTCTGGGTGGTCCAGGTGTGCTAGTGGACTGTGGTCAGAGAGTAAACAAGCCCAGGAGGCTGTGGGTTGAGCTGTGTGCCATTTCTCAAGTCCTGCACTGTGCCACGTTTGCCCAGGGACAGGACACCAGTCTCTGCAGTGTGATCTTCCCATCTAGAGCTTACCTCTATAAGGAGCTGTTACAAGCCAGGGCTGCCACATTTGGTCATCCGTGTTCATCCCAGGGCTCAGTGTGGTGCAAGTGATGACCTTTGCAAAGCTACAGCAGGTAGCACACCACTTGTTTGCAGCAAGGATGTGCTATACAAAGAGCTCTTCTGACTCTGAGCCTGTAAGTGCCCCACAACAGCCTCATGGATGTAGGAATTACCTAATTACCTGCTTATTTACAGCATGAAGGAAATAACTTTGCTAGGAAAAGAAGTGATTAGCTTAAAGAGTCACTCCAAACAAGCAGGAGGATTAGAAGTGAAACCACGACATCTGAAGATAACACTTTTTTTTTTTTTTTTTTTTTTTTGTAAATGATTTGGAAATAACTTCAGCTATAGCAGGATTGGAGACAGCAGTTACAGAATTACAGTCACCTACATCAGTATTATGTACAGAATAGACAAAATAGTTTTGTTTCTGTTTTTAACAAAAAACTTACCACTAGCATAGATATTTAATCTCAGAAAAGTTTTGTGTGGGGAAGTTATTAGTTGCTCAAGTTTTAACGAATTTAAGAAGTTTAAGAGGAAAGCAACATAAGTAGTTGTTATAAATTACATATATTATGCATATTTTATGGTTTAAAAACATTTCCACTTTTAGCCACAATTCTCTGATATTTTTCCTAGGTATAAAATTAGTTTCACTTTCTTTTTCCTTTCTTTTTTCTTTTTTCTTTTAAAAACTCTGGTACCCCATGCCTATAAGAAACAGACATTTCATTTTTGTGCTTTTTTTTTTTAAATTTGCCCAGAATAGTTGACCTTATTATTTTTTTTTTTTACCCTCATAACACCAAATGAGAAACAGTTTAAAATAGTGAATGTATCTCAAAATATTTCTTGAGAACTAATGCTCTCCATAGATTCCCAAGTATTCAAAGGCCATCTGCTCCTGTAAAACCTCATGCTGCTAGGTATGCGAAGAATGGTAATTTTCATTTCGTATGGGTGTTGTCAACCATAACCGTCAAAGAACATTGTGGTCAGTCGGCCCATAGCTTGTGGTCTCAGAGATGGGCTTAAAATAAACTCTGCTGAACCAAGATAGCTACCCAAACAGTGGTTTTCAGAATCATATTAGTTAAATATAGCAACATGTTTTTATGCTTCTCTGGTACTTCTTGCCACCAGTCATTCTTTTTTTATCCACCAAATTTGAAGGAGCAGCTAGTGTTTCAGAGTCACTCGACTGAGAAATGAAACCTCCCACTTCTGCAGCAGATACATTTGTGTGCTCATGTTATGGATATATAAACACCCAAAGAGGGTCCTGATGTGCATTTAAAATGAGAAGTGGTGATACATTTTTGTATGTAAGATATTGCCTTGAGGAGTCATGATGAGATATCACGCAGTAATGTGTCTTGCTGTCTTCCTGCCCCTCTTGAACTTCTTGTGCTCTTTCCAGCTACCACTTATCCCACTTTCCAGACTTCCAGCCTCTTTTTTTGAGGCAATGGCAGCTAGGAAGTTTTGGATGTATTTGCTTCGCTCATACCTTTGTATTGCAACACATAATGATGAACTGATCTACTTCCTTACACTCTTGTTTAACCTTTCTCTCCCAGACATGCAGCTGCAGCAGCTGTTCCGTATTGCAGAGCCCTGCCAGAAGCCCTGCAGGACATCTCCAAAAGTGGTCTCTTACCTCCCTCTGCCAGCTCTGGAAACTTTGCAAAAAATCACACAGATCTAATTACTGAAGTGATAGCATTGATCCTTAACCCAGAAATATCTAAATCTTTTTACTGGATATGGTTGCAACCTACCAGTGCCAGAGGAAGGAACTTTCTAATATTACAAGCCTGAGCCCCCATCAACTAGACTAAAAAGGGGCTGCTTTTGTCCAGGATGCTCCTTTCATGACAGATTCTATGTATTTAGTATTACCGTTGTTCAACACTCCATAAAACTGTAACCATGGATAAACTGTACTGAATTCTAAAATGTACAGGGTTCACACAGTGCATGTGGTTTCTTTCAGTTCACTTGAAGACAGAGATATGAGCTGTTCTGGAAGACTTAAAGAAAGCTGCCAGTGCAGAGAGATGCCTGATAGTTGTGTTTTTATTTTTGTTTTTGAGTCTTCTTTTACTTTAATGTGACTGCCTGTTCCCTACTCCTCCTCTTTTATCAGTGACCAGTTTATAACATGTCCCATCATAAACATGGCAAATCACTGGGCTGCTAACTCCAGAGGAAATGTCTTCATGTACCACGTACCTGAAAGCTCCGCACAGAGCAGGTAAGGAGATATGTTTCATTGTTTTTCTCAGATTTACAGTTTGCAGAAACATGGCTGCTTGTTTCGGCACCTTGTGGAGTAAATGGGTAGATACATATACCTCAAATGAACAATTTATGTTTGCAAAGGAAGTGTCAGGCTCTGATAAATTATTCCTCTTTGTTGACTGTATAGGAAAGCTTTTCTCAACTGATGCACTTCAAGTAAGATGTCTAAGTTGGGCTTCACTTTTCCAACTTTCATACCTTTGCCAGTTTTAGTTAGAACTTTAGATTTCTGCTCTGTATCTGATAAATCCTTAACAACAAACCAGAATGTTGTCTAAGTCACATGAGTTCACAGTTCTCAAGGTAAGTGGGGTAAAATTTTCTAAGGACTGAACATTAATTTAACACTGCCCCCTTTTGAGGTCACTGCAGTTGCATCACAGTTGCACTGCCTGGTCTTCATTGTGGTCAGGGTCTGGGTTTTATTCCTTCCCTCTCTAGCATCATGACTGCTGATCAGCTGGCAGACTGTCTCGTGGGAGGAAAAATATTTTTGAACGCGAGCATTTGCAGCCTGATGATCTATGTCATCCTTCACATTTCAAGCAGCTTGCTTGGAAATTTTCAGAAGTTGCATCATATAGACGGAAAGGTTTAAATGCTAGTGAGAGGTGTAAATGAGTTGTTCTGTTGGGCTTAGAACAAGCTGGTAGGCAGAGACTATTAAGGTGGTCTTTTCCTGCTTTATTTAAACCCAGCTCCTCCTAGAAGTCTGGAGGAGACATCGAGGTCTGTGGGCAGTGGTTAGCACTTTGTGCTGCTATGTGACACAGCACAGTAGCTCCTGGTCCCTTCCTTTCGCAGCCTGAGTGCACGGAAGCTGCAGTGACAGCAGCCTCTCCTGTCCCCTGGAGCCACACATCAGGGCAGCAAAAAGCCCGCAGGGATGCTTGACATGAGGGATCTGCCATTTCCTTACACAGTAGCAGTGTTTGCCCCCTGCACCCTGTATTTCCCTATTTATCTGTCCAAACAAGATTATTTTTGAGACCCTTTCTGCCTTCTGAGATGTACTCTGGAGAGATGAGGGGCCAAAATTGTTTGGAAGACCTTAGGAAGGTGGGGGCCAGCATGCTCCTACTGGCACCATTTGATACTGAGAAGTTGCCTGTATACTGTGTATTTCTTTCCTTTCCTGATAGCATAGTGAAAAAGCATTTGAAAGAAGCCAGCCAAGATCTAGGTTACAGATGAAGGCTATTATGCTGTGGTAACACAGGCTGGCTTTCTTTTTAGTGGAGAACTCAGTCCTCCGGGAGCCATTATTTCGCTGGCAGCTCCAGTGGGAATGTTCACAGTGCTCTGTTTGGCTACCGAGAGGCTGAGATAAGTGACTTTTACAAGGCTCCAAAAAGAGCCAAGCCATGGAATGCCAAACATCTAACCACACAGAAAGAAGTATTCGCAAAAAAAAGCTAGCAAGTTTTCTCTTGCTTTGGAGAATGACTGTGACCCAGTCATCTATGATAACATCTTATTTGAATGTAGATGAAATAGTCTTTTACAATTTAGAGTCACTGGTTTTGAGGCAGTGATTTTAAATTAATGTGAATTTCCTCTTTTATCTAATCCTATTAAAAATATTTCTCATGCTCCTGTTATTTACGTCTCCTCACACTGTCCAGGACAATAATAGGTTACATAGAACTTAGCTACACATTTCAGTAAAATTTATGTTGTCAGCGATCTTCCAAGCTAATTTAAATTTTGGTACTGAACTTGCTAGTTTACTTTTCACATAACCCTCTTTAAAAACAAACAAACATACAATAGAGCCAGTACACTGTCTGAAATGTGTTGTGGGAACATAAGGCAGAAGCTCAAATGCTGTAGGCTAGGCCACTTGCAAGAAGAAATGAACCAAAATTGGTATTTTGGATTGGCATTTTTGCTGCTCTTTGTTTATGCTTAATATTGCCAAAATAATGTTGTTTAGGTTGCAAATCCAAGCATTAAAAAAAAAATAATTGCAGAATTCACCTTGTGCATATGCCTACAGACATCTTTTCACAGTATCACAGGACTATTTATGAAATTATACCCTTGTTTTCCATAAGGCCTCTGTTTCACAACTTTCCTGAAGACCTCCCACTAGGTCTGTTGCTGAATATACTCCAAGTTTTTTTGTTTAAACATTATTGTTGTTCATTCTTAAATGAAGCCTTTCTTATTCTCCATCCCATTTCTGCCATGTGACCTCCCTCCCTCAATTTCCCTATGGCATTCCCCCTCCGTACAGCATACATGCATTGCAAGCTGCCCAGCAGCCTCCCTGCAAGCCAAAGCAGCAACACTGTGAAGCTAGGAGCTTCACATGGGACAGTGGCTAAAATTTGCAAGAAACCTTGGTTTACACAGGATATGGGCCTTTTGCTCTTTGTGTTTTTTGCCTATATCATAAAGATGATAGTAATACCTATAATATCTATAATGACTACTGCTAACAACCTCACAGGGGTACTGGAATGGATACATTAAAATAATAATTATAACAATGGAAAACTATTTACGCTTACATAAAATATTCCGAGTGTGGAAAAGGCCATTCACTAATTAGGCGACTGCACAGTATAGCAACACATTTCTACTCTGTCACCTCTCTCCTACTTTATGTGTGTCCCCCCCAAATGTGTGACAGAAGACAGGGTTAAAATGCAGAGATGAAAAAGTACTGGTATTTCCTCTTTTTTCACAGGGAGCAGTCCCTTAATAATTCACAGCAAGATAAACAAAAGGGAGGGAGAAGTCAGCCAGTAAAGACAGACCCAACTGCAATGATGCAAAGTAGACAAAAATTTCTTAAACAGAGAGGAACTTTTAGCAGTACAAATCAATTAGCAAAAGCCTGTGTGACAACTGGATGTCTCTAAAATAAACACACACACTCAGACATGAACAGATGCAAGGACAGGACTAAACATCCCACTCTAGACTGAAGTCTATGGCATACGTGGAAAATCACATAAAACCATAAACGGACAGTTGTCATATAGATAAATTGATCTTGCAGAGAGCAAGCAAGCTATCCTCGTCCACGTGGTAGCATTCTCCCAAGCCTGGCGTGGCACAGTGTCTGCTTTACTCTTCAGTTCCTCTTTGAATGAAGTGAGATGCGTCGCCAGCTCCTGCATTAATGATCTGTGGCAAAAATATATGTAGTCCAGATGCCATTTTGTCACTCTCTTTCTGAGAACACTTAGGCCTTGGAGTAAACACTTACTGTAAACAATGCAGGAGGAATGTGAGTGCTCAGCATTGCCTAGGATTAGTGGGAAGGGCTGGGGTACAGTTTTAGTTATAGTAAAGAAATGTGATAGAAGAAAGTATGTTTTGAGAGATAATATTATGAACTATACAAAGATTCGCCTTGTTAACCCTTGAGGAGGTTTCTGGGTGATTTTTGCATGCTACTGATATATGAAGTAGCACTGTTTTCTGGGCCAGCATAGTTTCCAAGTCACACTGTGGCACCAGATGTGCTGTCTTAAATTTGATGATGGATAAAATTCAGTGCTCTCCTCACTAAGGAGACCAGACCATCAGCTGCATAGGACAGCAAAACATCATTATTATCAATGGAGAAGTCTAACCTGAGAGTTAAAGAGGCTCTATCTTATTAATATTACCATCACAATTGTCAGAAAAGCTTTTACAAAACTCAAACTCTTGTGCACTGTACAGATTCCTCTAATATTAATGAGCTGCTGTCTATTTTGAATCATTTTGGTTAGGGCTGTCTTCACCTCCTGACTATGCACTCTTATGTGTGTTATTGTGAGCTGTTAAAAGACTGCTCCATGCCAAGGTGAACATAACTGGCTGGATTGCGGTTACACGTTATATGAATCTGTAATTCTGAAGATGAGAACTCCTGACTGACAAAAAAATGTGTATAAATCCATTAACTATGTGAAGTATTTTCATTTTTTTAATTTGCTGTTATGCTAAACTAGTTCTGGATTCTCTTAATATCACTTTAATTAAAGGAGATCTCTTCTGCTTTCATAATGAACATAACCCTGGCAGATTACTCTGCAGTCCTTTAATCTGGCCTCCACCTATTGTCCACTCGACACTCTCCCCATGACTGTGGCTATTAGTCCATGAGTAGCAACACCTTGTAGTATGGAGGACCACTGTTAATCAGGGTGCTGTGGAGGCAGACAGAAAGGCACAGATCAGGTCTCTGGGCTTCAAAGGAACTCACCTAACCACAGAGGGCAGGTGAGGCACTAGAGAGGTGGTAACAAGCATAGCTACGATGCCTGCTGCTTCCATGCGTGGGCAGGCAACACAATGTCCTTAGGTAGTAAACTTGCTGCAACAACAGCTTGTCACTGTTTATAAAGCTGTCCTCCCTCTCATCCCTGAAAAAGTTGTTTTTCTGTTCTTGGTGGAATTGCCTGTCATCCTTCTGGTTTTATCTGTTGCATTATGCCTGCTGCAGCTATGAAAACACTCGCTAAATCAACCACATCACGCCATTCTTATGTCTGTAGACAGCATCTGTGTTGCTGAAGTTTTGAAGTCTAGACAACTTGTTTTTTCCTCCCACAGAGTGGCTTAGTGGCCTTTATCATTCAGCAGATTTTTTAGTACTTGGATCTGATCTTGGAAGTTAGACATAAATGTACAAAGCACCAAACTCAGAAGCATCAGAAATCAGCTTTATGTTAATCAAAATTCAGAAAAGTACAAAGCTCTTTTTGGAACTGCACGTGCTGCAATGGGATAGGCTGTTTCCAGAAAATGTAATCTAGCAGATAAGCCCACAGTCCATATACGTAGAGAGACCTTCTGTATTGCTCCGGGGCTTCAGAAGAACACATCCATATTGCTAGCTTTTTAATACAGTAATTCACTAGCAAAATTCTGTAATGTGTTATTTAGGAGTTCTGAGATGATAACAATGCTTCCTTCCTTTATTAAGATCAATGATATATGTGTATTTTTTTCATTTAGTGTGAGATTTCAGAATCTTGAATTTATTGTCTGCTGCCTCAGTTTTATTTTCTTCCATTGGCACAGCCATAGCGCAAAGTAGAACTTTGCGTGTATTGGGAATAAACCAAGTGGAAAAGAGACAGCAAACTCCAGGATACTTTTGCAAGTAACACGTATCTATAGGACGTTTTTGGTACAAAAGGGGATAAACTTGGCAGTTTAATACCACTAGGAGTTAAGCTTTTTCCATATGCCCTGATTTTCCTGAAAAGAAGAAGGAAAGAAAGAAAAGTGTTCATCTGTTTTTCACATGCTTTCCCCCATTTGTCTGGCAGGACTTTGTAATGTGAGGAGACACAATGAACTGAATGTATCCCCAGAACTGCAGAGTTCACACCAGGCCTTACACTGGCTCATTAGATTTCTATAAATATCCAGCTATCCTGTGATATGTATTTTTTCACCCTGCAATCATGTACCATTTCATTTTCTAAGATGGGTGGTTATATATAATTTATTCTTTAATATTTTTGCTTATCTTCAAAATGAACATTTCAGTCCAGGCAAAGGGCACTGCAGTGTTGGCAGGCTGCTCCTCCTGACGTTGCTGAGATGGTACCTGTTAAAAGCTCTTGATACTCGATCTCTATCTGCAAATCTGCTAGTATTAATAGGAGAAGAATTTATCTGAGCACAACAGCAGGGTCTGATGTTAAATTGTTGTCTATGAATTTCAGAGTTTTGGATTTTGTCACCTGTTTGCTGTACACTGGATAACTGACCTGCAGTAGTGACTCCTGAAGTGAAGTAATAATTCTCCTTCAAAGGGAACTCACTTTAGTGTGAGCAAAATGGCAGGGTCTTGCTCTCAGCTTCTCCATGCTTTACCTTATCAGTCACTGCGCCACATCAGAACTGTCAAACTGTTTCTAAAAATTATGACATCCTTTTATATACATATTTATATATACACAGAAGATTTGAAGCAATATCTTTTGCATTAAGTACTAGCTCCATGAAGTCACCAAAACCAAGAATAGATCCTTACATGTAATTACATTCACTGTTCTTATTAAAGAGATCTGTTGCTTGAAAAGTGACTTTCTTAGTTGATATAAGTTTTTATTACTTAGAAACACTTAAGAAATCCCTTTTCCCACTGTCTTTGCAGACCTTCCCTTTACCAAACTGTCCTCCATCAGTCATTAGACTCTGCATTTCCCCATTTAGAGTTGACACCGATGAGTCAACTACGTGGCACCCTGGAGTATTGGGAGTGCAGTTTAGAGCAGCTTAGGAAAGAACAGCCTCCATGCAGAGCTATCAGGGTACCACAGCTAAGCTAGACATGCTTATCTGTCACTTCTCTATTTCTTCCATTCCAGTGAAAACACTGTCACTACCTGATGCTACCTTGAGATCTCTCTGTCTGCTCAGAAATCCTACATGCTACTCAAAATCTTTGTTTGGGCCACTTTGTGTGTTTGTTTTGGGCTTAGGGCAAAATGTTTGTTTTGGGCCACTTTGCCCTCCCCTCTGGTACTAATAGATGATGATCAGAAAAGTTCCCCTGATATTTTCCATCTAGCTGCTATTTAAATCTTTCACAGCTGTCTTAACTTTGTTGCTGATCTGTGCATGCATACATGTGCCTCTTTCCACTCTTAGGCTTGTGTTTTCTTTCTCATTCTCTTACTACTGATACTGGCCAGGATATGGTACCACCAACCAGGTATATCGAAAGCAGCCCATCAGATTGTACCACTTTGTGTTCTGTATCAAATCCACTATAGTTGTACAAATAATTTTATTCCTATTAAGATCTCAGTACAAGAGTTAGCAGAATTTTAATCTGTGCCGTAACGTTATAAGATTTTACCTCTAGGAACATGAGGGCTGAAAACACAATTGCATTTGGGTGAACACCCTTACTTGATTTAGATTTAAAGTCACCCTTCATGTGACTTCCTTAAATGGATAGGTTTGTCCCTTCATTCCATCCATCTCAACTAATTTCATGTCATCTTTCTATTCAAAAGTGACTTTTTATTGAAAAGATAATAGCTCCTTTAAGTACATAATACCTTTGCTGCAATGCTGATGTTAAATATTGCTGTAATATATTGGGCCAAGCAAATTATTTTTAAAGAAAAATTATTAAACTATGATCTTGCTTAATCCTTCTATAAACATTTGGGGAAGAAAAATATGCTTTAATCTTGTTTCAGTTCTGCATTTTTTTGGTGAATAATCTGTGAATAATTCACTTTCCAGATGCAAAGTATTACTGAGGTATTATGATAAGACTAAGGAAAATACTACCAAAGATGTATTTCATTTAGAGGGTTGTGTGTTTGTTTTTCAAAATAGAGGCTTTGAGGATAGGGTAGTCCCACCACTCGTATAATGTGAAGGAGTCACCTTGGTTCCAGTCCACCTGACCATGATGGCTTGAAATACAAGCCTTGTTCTCTGAGAAGCACTATGTGGATTATATCAATGCTGTTGCATTTCATGTCCAAACATAAAATAGTTTCAGTTGTGCCACCTTTCAACAACAACCTCTGCAGCCACTGCAGATGAAATCCTTTTGAGTGGATCTGGGATTTGTTTGTCTCTGCCTTACAGACATCTGTTCCTTCTCCCAGGTCCCCTGGCCCTGTCTGCCTTCCTGCAGCATTTAACCAAGTGAATTGGACCTTTGTTTAATTGCATGATACCAACAACACAATTGGACTCCAGACCACAAATATCTTGCTCTGAGTTGTGGCGAAAAGCTATATGTTGAGCATACTGTAGTTTTAATTTTATTATCAGAAGTTGACTGCTGTTTTTCTGCAGGACATGTATTATTATAACCTTTGCTACTATGTCCTGCAAAGGTTGTTGTCTTGCTTGGCCAGTCTTGTCTTTGAATTGTTAAAATATTACTTACTATTTGTGTTAATCATTAGCTGGAAGTAAACAACAATGGTTCTTTCTTAAATCTGAACCAGGCAATTATTTCAAGCTGGTTTGACTTGACTGCCATATAAAACTTGGAGAGAACAGACTGCGTGAACTAAAACCACCCTCCCAGCCACCACAGAAATTAGATTAAAAGTACCTCTAAGAGAAATCTTCATAAACATCTCCTATTACATCTTTCCTTATCCAAAGACTTGGGGCAGAATCCTGGCCCCAATGAAATCAATGGAAAAACTCCAATTACCATTAAGAAGGGCCAAGATTTAATTCCAAGTTTGTGAAATAAACCATAATTAACCTTCCATCATGGCTGCCAGATTCCATGTCACCATTTACTTCTGCTTTTTGAATTTAATTTTAGTGAAAATCTGTATAACCAAGTACAACCAAAATCTGAATACCAAGTGACTTTTTAGCTCTATCACTTTAGGTTACATGCCTAGTTAATTCATCAAAGGTGCCCTGCTGTCCAAAATTTCCTCTTATAGCATATGTTAGAGACCCTTTACAGCAAATTCTCCATGTTATTGATAGTTCTTCTTTTATGTTTTGGTTTGAAGAAGCCCCACAGTTCAGAACATTGTAATTAATGGTTATTAATTATTTAAACTCTGCTTTATTCTTTGAATTAAATTATCTCTGTTTCTCCCCCAAATACATAACTGATGGTTTGAATTATCTTTATATAAATATATTTTTTTAGTTCAGGTCTGGAGCTCTTGCTTGATGTTCAGTATGCATTTGGACTGCCTTTCTACCCAAAGTATGAAGAACGATTTACTCTGGATGAAAAGCGCCTTTCCTTGCAAATTATGCAGTACATCTCCAATTTTGTAAACTCTGGGTAAGTATATGACATTTAAGAGTTGCTATGGTTGGGGAGGGGGAAAAGAGTAGAGAGAATATAGGTCACCTTCTGCCCTCATTCAGGTAGTCTCCATTTCCTTTAGCAATTTGTACCCCCACTGAGGAATCTTTGGTTAACATTATTGGAAAGTCATGGCCAAGATGTCAAGCAGGTACTGAAGATTTGTAGTATGTTTTGTAGCTAGAAGTAATAGGAAATTTATTTCCATGGAGCACATGCAAATTCTACTTAAATATATTTGCGGCCCACAAAGGCCTCAATGTTGTTTACAGAGCCTAGTTTTGGGACCACATTTCTGAAGGATCTGGGCTGAGAGTTCCCTTATTCCCAAAAGGAGGAAAGCACATGAAGACACAGTGACCACTTTGCCAACTACCCTGAGAGTAACCCTCAGCTTTATTGAGTTATGGCCATACATGTGAATAAGCAGTATCTCTAAAAAGCTATGGTGGGAACTACAACTTTACTACAACTTTACAATGCTCTTTTGATGACCTTGGGATGCTCTGTGACTGAGGGCTGTTGAGGGTGCTGATGATTCTGTGTCTATACAGGGTTTGCGTACCTGTTCTTTAGGAAGTGAACCAAACTAAAAAAAGGCTGTCAAAGGAGACACAATTCAGCAGCCAGGGCTGAATCTGAAGCCTGTTGGTCAGAGAGACTGGATACACATTTCTTTGACCCCGCTGATCTCTTTCTGCCTTCTACTGTTTACATCATTGTTTTCTAATAGCCATTTCTCCCCTTCCCTTAGAAATCCAAACTACCCTCACAGTTTCTCGAGAAGAATGTCAGGGTTGATGCCACTCTGGCCAATGTTTCTGCCAAATGATGATGGTGATAACTACAAAGAATTCACTGCTTCCTTGCCAACTCTTAAAGGATTAAAAAAAGAGGACTGTTCTTTTTGGTCTGATTATATCAGAAGACTGAAAGAATCCACAGGTGAGCAAAGTGTTTTCCATCATTAAATAAATATCAATTATTTGTTTAGTGTTTTCTTTTGTCTGGATCCCCAGACTTATACTATAGTTACGTCAGCATAAAAAAGACTTTTCAGAGATGAAACATCTTACACTGTCCAGGGTATATGTACGGGATTATACTAACATGGAAAGCATGCAATATTGAACATATTTCTTTCACAGTAGTTAGTCTGTAATAAAGTTTCATTGTCCTGGTGTTAGAATGAAAGAAGTCTTCCTGCAGTGATTATAATGATGAAGCCATACTTTATAGTTTGCTCCCTACTTGCAGTCATAATATAGACATTGCCTAAACCAGAAGACTGGCCTCTTTTGTCTACTGGAAGCAGGTAACACAAGAGTGGTGAGAATTAGATAACTGAGAAGGAGCACAATAACTTATATACACTGCTAAGTTGTAACTGAGGCTTTAGATATGTCTTAATATGGAAATACGGATTCTGCATGTCTTGACTTCACACTAAATTCCTTTGGATTTTTTTTTTTTTATAGTTGTGCTGGTTACACCCCTTGTAGTTCTCCTTTGTATTCATAAATTCCCATGCAGCTGTGAGATTTTTCCTCCATTTTTTTCTTATTTCTCAGAACAGTAGGACTCAGTTGAGATTTCAGTCTGCTGCCCTGTACTGAACTCTCAATTTATTTTGGTAACTAAACTTCTCTTCATGACTGTGTGTGTTGTTAATAAATTTGGATAGCCTCAAGAAAAGCAAACAAAACTATCCCTTTTTTGGCAGGCTCAGATTTTTTGAGCTGTTCTGCAAGCTTACAAGTGTTTTTTTTGTCCTAAGGACTCATCTTTACAGTGAACGCAGTCCAGATCCTTTCTGATTTGGGAGGGCAGTTGCATTTTGGTGAACAAAATGTTCTCTTGAAGACACTGAGCTGTCCAGGCTATCTCTGAATCATCTCAAATGGACTGAGAATGATATTTAAGTGACATAAAACTATAACGTCTCAGAACCATCAAATTAGTGCTTCCTATACAAACATAAAGAATAAATGTTATTTTTCAAGGGACAGCCTAAATCATCACTTCTGGTCTTTCTTCAAAAGTGGACTAAACGTTTTACTGCAGGCCTTTTCATCAGTTTCTTGGTATCCTTCAGTGTCTTTCAAATTCAGAGGGACCATTTTGATCTCTCCAACGGCTTTTTGCTGGTCAAGATATTCCTAGGTTGTATACCTTGACTCTGATTATTAGCGTTAAGCAAGGTTGAAATTTTGTTCTGATGCCCTGAGTAGAGCATCTAGATCTTTTGGGACTTAATTTTCCAGCATTCTGCTTGTGTAATGCTAGTTCAAGTTGAAGTCACTGAGCACCACGGACAGAGGCTACTCTCAGCCTTTACAGGAAATCCCACCAACGGTGGGAAAATATCTACCAGGGAAGACTGTTGTTGAGAACTAGAAAATTTAAAACTGTCCAAACTGGCATGAGAACACAACAACATTTGTATATGGGACAGTCCAAAGGTCTGTCTGGCTCAGTATCCTTCCCTTGTCAGTAACCAAAGCCAAATACTTAAACATAAACATTGAGAGACGGAGAGAAAACAAAAATTCTGAAAAATCTTGCAAAGATGAGTCAAATTTTGGAAAACAACACATACAGTGAGATTTATGGACTACACATTGTCAAGGAGAAGGTTTAGAAAGTACATGTCAACATGTTATCCTGCAAGCAGAAGTGAGTACGCCCTGCCTGCTCTTCAAGCCAGTGTTTGCTTGGCCTCAGCTCCATGGTAATGCAGCTACACAGTTCACTTCTATTAAATTCCATCTCATAGTAATGTTGGCTTGTCACCTTGCTTCTATAGTCATCTTCAATCTTATCTTGCCCTGAAATACTGAAACTTCTCCTATGAGTTCTATTTAAATAGGCATCTCATCAAGTACACTTCAGCTCAAGACCTCAGTACAAGATGGGGACTTAAAGAAACTCCTGATGTGGGCATTTGGGTAATACTTCAAGCCCAATTCCCTATTAAAAAACAACTCCTAATGTCCATCAGTTCAGCTATCAGAATTGTATGAACTTTGCATGATGCTGATTGTTGAACACCCTCAACTTCATTTGAGAGGAGGTTGTGCTGAAATGCATGTCAAAGCTGTGTCAGCCTATCAGTATGCAAATATGGGATCACTTGCATTGATCCTATAAATCACACTCAGCAGGAATGGACAAATAGGACTGTAAAATGTGTCCAGATCAGTTCAGTCAAGAGAAATAAGGTCTTCAGATTTTTATTATTATAATTATTTTAAATCACTAAGCATCATTTTCCTGTACAAGGGGTAGCTTGCTCTACCTCCCTTCAGAGCTGATGAACTGCATTCTGTCTTTACATGACTGCTCCAGACTTTCTGTTCCTGGAGAGCTGCCAGGCCATCATATGGGATCCTTACTTTATGTTTGATGATAGATCAGAGACAGCAATGCTGCAAACCATTTCTGTCTGATGCATTTGGCACTCTGTCCTGAGGGGGAACTATTCAGCAGTCAGCTACTGTGAGATCCAACCTAACACATATGGGGAAAAAAGAGCCTTTCTATATTTCTAAATCTCTGTGATAGTGTTTTGGGCTGCATAATACACTGTCCAGTATGACCACTGAGACCCAGTTGTTGTAGGTTGCAATTTGTGGTCTCATGCCAAATAGATGGAGTTCACAAGCATGGCAGGATGAGGCATTGCTAATAAAACAATCCAGGTTTCACATCCGAGTGCAAAGCTGTAGAGTCTGTTCTGATGCAGTCTCAACCAACTGTGATGATTTCTGTTTTTTCCATTTCACCACTTCCTTCAAATCAACATCTTTCTAGCTTCATATATTTCCTGTAATTTATAAGAAAAATATATATGTTTATATATACATATATTTCAGTAAAATGGAGATTAAATGGATGAGCCAGTAGCCATAAAATGTAACTGCAATTGATGTTTCAAAAACTTTTCTTGATCCTTTATTTAGAATCCATGTGAAATGCCTTGACTTAAAAATGACAAATAAGGGATGATTAAAGCTAAAAGCACCATATCTTAGTCCCTAGGCATCAGTCCAATAGAAAAGTGAGCTACACCCAAACTCCTAAATTCAGGTATCTGGAATAGAACCTCTATTATTTAGAATCTCTTGTACAGATGAAGTTACATGGTTTTTAGGTTATTCACTGCTAGATCTAGATTCTGTTGTATATATATATATCCAGCAAAAGTGTTACCTGTAATTTTATTTCCATTATGTAAAAATATTGTTCAAGGTTAAGTAGGTGTTTCATTATGCAATAAGACTGTAATATTTAATGATGGAATGTGTCATTTATTCCTGGCTTATAATTGAAATGGATGTTGTTGTAATTGAAGATAATTTACCAAAAGTAATTCCAAAAATGCAATGATTCTTCATTGTATTTTCTGGCAGTGACTTAACAAGTTATGGGGAAAAGTTTGATTCTGTTTCATTGCAGATGTTTTATAAATCTGTTGAAATTTTGTCTGAAGCCAGTTTGCAAATTTGGCAATTTGGGGGGCAGTTCACCTGGAGAATTATGAAAGTGATAGTGCTTGAAAAGGTTTGGATTTAGTAAGTGGAGTTCCCATGGTTGCATTTCAGCATGAATCCAAAGACATGATTTATATTCTAAATCATGATGGTTTCCATGGGGATGATCAAAACCAGAAACAAGAAGAGTGGCCATTGTGGAAAAAAGCTGTGGATGTCTTTTTCCAGGGAATGTGTTAACAACTTGAAATTCAGTTAAAAACAGGAACTCTAGAGTGTTTATGGATACTCAGACAGTATGTCTGAATGCAAAAATTCCCCTTGCATAGTGTGGTGGACTGCACTGCATAACAGTGAGTCACTTTACAAGGGACCTTTCACTGCATCCCAAGCAGGTTAGCAGGGATCCAATCCATATCCCTTACTCATCTAAATAGTATCTAAGCAGAACGAGTCCTACTAAAATAAGTGCCTGTATAAGCAATGATGTCACCGTGGAGAAGGAGATACCTTTAGTGCCTCCAAAGTGAAATCTTGTCTGCCTAATGCATGTGCCTAAATGTAGACATCTGTGTATAAATTAGCCAGATTTGACCACACCTGTACATTTAGAAAATTCAAAGGTTAACAAAACCAAAGACTTCTCCATTAGCTCTGAGACACTATGTGTAGCCATGCAAGAGTCCAAACAAAGCAACAGTATTCATAGTTCAGACTTCAGTCAAGACCGAATCAGGAATGTTGTGGTTAGCATTCATCTTTTACTCATTTTATTCACACCTTCTTTTTGGAAATCTCCTCTAGAAAACAGATTCCTTTAGTCTGAGGGACATCTGTGCAGCACAGAGAGCACTCTGGCTAGTTTACATTTAATAAACACCATCGGTACACTTTCTGGGCACAGTTTGGTCTTGTAGAGGCAACTACACTTCTGAAATAGGGTGGAAGACTGAAATCACTGAAGGTAAAGAATAAGGAAGAAGAGGTCTATTAGAGATGAGTCCTTGGGGTTTTATGCATTCCAGATGGCCAAAAAAAAAAATAAATTATGCTCCCCACAATTCCTGCCTGGTAGGTAAGTATGAGATAAACAAAATAATAATAATAATAATAGTAATAATTATTATTATTAATAATAATAATAAAAGAAAACTAGACATGCACAGGTGTAGTGCAAACTATTTTCAGTGACAGTTACTTAAAGCATGCTGGAAGCATGATAATTAATTACCAAATTACCATTAGGTGATCTGTCGTTACCCTAAAGCATTTTGCAAGTGGACTGCAACTGAGAAATATAGGTTCCTGAACATTTACAGCTGCATAAAAAAGGTTCTTATTAAAGTGCCATTAATAACACATATACCTTCTAGCTTGCTGCATAAAAGATGCTACATATATTTGAATCTTAATTATATTGTCTTTGCAGGAAGTGCAAGTAATGGAGAACAATCTTCAGAAAACAGCTCCAGTGAAGCCCCTAGTGAAGGAGTTACCCCCCAGGAGAGCCAGCAAGTGGGAGACAAGGTGGCTTACAGCAGATAGATGGTCACAGTCCTATTGGATGAGTTTGCCATGTAATTGTACATCCATGCAACTGTGTCACACCAGATAAACAAACTTCTTTAATTAACACTCTGAACAAATAAAGTAGACCTTTCAAGAAAGTAGCCTTTCAAGAAAACTTTTGAATATGGCACAAAATAAGCCCAACGGATATTATTTTAGTTCAGAAGAAACTAATTTGCAAAATGGCATATCAATAAAAGCTGCAAAAATTAAACAAAAGTTCTTGGACTCTATTTCTTGACCACACACAAATGCCTATACATTGTAGTACCACCAGCCAGAAAAGGATGAACTTTGAAACTCTGAGAATTCCCTCTGCTGATAAGGATTAAATTTGCTCATATCTGTGTCATATCTGACATGTTCCCTTTTTTTCATCATATCTATCACAAGCTGTGGATATGAGTGGGAACATGGTTTGACACTGCAGAAGATGGAAAAGCTTCAGAATAGGGATGGGTTGGTTCAGGAAAGAAGGATGTAAGAGAGACTCAAGAGAGTGAATTGACAATGTTCTCATGAAGTCAGATGCATGCACATGCTATATTCAGCTCATGAACACTTGTGGAAATATGTATAAGACCATTTGGGTAAAGCACAGCACACAACAGAGATAACGCAAAACTTCAACTAAAGCTTAGAACATCCTGTCCTTGGAACATTTATCTTTCATAAAGGGAATGTGAGATAAAGAATAGTTTTGGAAGGGAAAGGAAAAGCATATTGATGGGTATCTCTAAAAGCTCTGAAGGTAGTTTGGGTTAGGTTGTTAATCCACTACTAGGATCATTTGGCAATAGATAATCCTTAGTTGGCAGTATATCACACACTTGTTCATAATATTTAAGAAGAAATGAAGTTACATCTGCCCTCAATCTAAGAGCAAAATTCCCATTGATTTCAGCAGGACACAAATTTCTTCTGCAGTGTTGAAAGGATTTAATAAAACAACTCATAAGGTTTTGTTTGCTGCTTGGGACTTTTGCCAGTGCATGAAAAGTTACTGCTGCCTACCATGTATCCAGGTTTCCAAGGATTTTACCTAGTTAGAAAAAAAAAAAAACTGTATAACACTCATAGTTCTTATACTTGCACCCTGTTCAATAAACAATTAAACAATTAAAAAGAACAGAAGAATCAAGGAGCCTGTTAACTAGTTCAGTATAAAAAAGTAAAGATGGGGCAATTAAACTATGTTGCCCATTGTTATCTTTTTATATGATAGCTAACAGGCAAGGAAAAAAGAAAAGATTTAAGGCCTTTTTAAAAAGCCCAGATCTTAATCATCTAGCTCAACAGTGCATACTTTCTTTCCAGTAACTATAGATGCTGCAGTTCTTATTCCTTGGCCAAGGCTGGTTTACTTTTTCCTCTTTTGTGGCTGCTCCTGGAAATGGATGCCTGACAGATTCTATTTAAAACTTACCGTACCCTGCCAAAACCTCTTATATTAATAACAGGTATAAATTTGCATACGTTCACATATGCAGTCATGCACACATCTCCAGCCTTGAAAAGACCCAGAGCCGAGTTCAAGTTTTTCATATTTATTTAACGATAACATGGGTAAAAGAACTGTGGATCTCTCCAGTACTCTTAGCTAATTTTTACAGCATCAGCATCCCTCAGCTTAACCCTAAGAGTTCTATGAATATTTACTGATATCATGCTTATTGATATACATATATTTAATCTTCAGCAAATATTAAAATTTCTTTTTCATCCATTAAACAGATGCATTATAACTCATCTAAAAGTATTCTGGGTCACTGTTTGCTCTCTACAATGCCCCTCCTGTCTTTCATTCCAGATGCTGAGGCAAATTCCCCATTTAATGTTCTTTGTTCCTGCACTGTACTGTCCCCTAAAATCAAATTTTACAGAACACCAGCCAAATCCCTGTGAATTAGTGACATTAAATGGGGTATTGTTTATGGAGAATGGGCTTGGCATTGGCTGTTTTGTTACACTGAGTCAAATAAGCACTTTGGGGGAAAATGGACCATCACACTAACAGTGTTGATCAATCAACCCAAAATCCCACAGTTACTGTTAAAGAAACATTAAAAGGCTATTGTATGGACACTGGGGTACTAAATATAGTACTTAAATAATTCTAATCCCCATAAACAGTAAGCATATGCTTTTTCTTTTTCTTTTTCTTTTCTTTTTTTTTTTTATTTTTTTTAATGTAGGTGGATATTTACAAATATAATTGTAAATGAAGAAGTGAGTTTTTGTGTTATTTGTTTTCCACTCTGTGTATAACAACTTTGATAGCATCATTCCAAACAAGACAGTTTTGCAAAAAGTAATTAATCTCAGTTCTAAACCATCAAATCCTAAAACTAACTAACTAACTAAATAAATAAATGAATAAACCACCTCCAATAAATTTAATAACTGTAACAGGAAATGCTCAACTAAACATTAGGGTCCTTTTCATAATACTGTGACCTCACTGTCTTCTGCACCACAATATCTTAAAGCATAATATATACAAAATTGAATACCATTGAGAACTATTATACTAGGCAACCCCAGTATTAATCTGCTGCCCTGGAGCTGGTAAACAGAGGACAGATTTAAAATGCTTCATTACTGACTCATGTTTGGGAAAAACAAACATATAATCTTTCCGTCCTCACTCCAGCCTGAGCATGGATATGCCTCTGGAATTTGAGAAAATTTTCAGCTAGCAGCTCAACAGCTTGGCCTTAGAGCCTCCTAATTACAGTCTTACCCATCTGGTAGGCTTGGTAGGTATGTATGACCGGACTTTTAGATCACCCCTCCTGAGGTATTCGGCTTGATTGTCAGTTTGGTAAAAGAACTTTTTAAGTACATATTTTTTTGTAAAACCTTTTCATTTTATTTGTGGCTGACTGCTCCAAATCCACTCTGTTGCACTGAAAGCAGCTCTTTGGTCCATTGTCTCTCTCCCAGTTTTCTAGATGCACTCACACTCCTTTCTATAGTGCAATATATGTTTTCTCTTTTAAAAATGCAACGTGTTTTCTTTGTTGTCTGCATCCTTTCCTTCCCCTATGATAGTCCTACATTCTCCAAATTGCTTTTAACTCCCCTGTGCCACAGTGAACGTTGATGCAGGGAAATACAGTCTCATGACCCTGTATATTCATCTAATCTCACACTTCACCATTCTTTAGTCCTTGGTCCGTAAGCTCAATCTTCTTTGAAATCTGAAGTGACTTTTGTGGCAGCACAAGTTATCCGGTCTTTGGTTTTAAATCTGGTCACCTTCCTGCTTTTATTAGGGTTTCTCATGGCGAACCACACCAATGGAAACAGCCCTGTCAAATCCAATAGGGAGACATAATATAAGGGTGGGCTGACTGACAGAGAGGTCAGGCAACTTTAGTCTTAATGATACTGAGAGGCCAAGTCTGCTCCCACATATAATTCTTAGTAAGAAAAATACATTCTCAGACTATTTAGGTCATTGTGCTTAAAGCCGAAATACCAAAGTCTTCAGTCATCTGGTACTGAAACAATGCATAAAAGCATGCTGACTAGAGCCACTTTGGATACTTCGAAGCTTCCTTGTGAGCACACACACACATAAAGTAAGTTAATGCCAATTAAGTCATTTAATTCAAACCTTTATTCAAAGACAAGCCACCAGAACCTTTCAGTATACAGAACTATGTTACATTTTAAGGCTTGGCTATCTAACCTACAACATTTTATGTGATTCTTTTGCACAAAAAGTATTAGGCAACAGGGAGAAAAAACGTATTGTATTAGAAATACTTTACCATGCAGAGCTGGAAGGAAAACAACCGACTAAATGTCAACACTGGAACGTTAATGGTTTTCATAAGTATTTGACACATACAGCTGGAACATCACGGTGTTTTCCTGCTTTTGCAGGCACCCACATCATATAATTCTCTTGGCTAAACTTAATGATTGAGTCTTTCACCACCGCAGCATCACAGCCAATGCTCTTTATTGTATGAAAGGCTCATATTATCTCTAACTTGCTCCAGTTACAGTATATAGCAGTGGCTTATATAGTAATAATTATAGATTTATGGACCATTGCTCCTCCTCACATAAAGCTAAAAAAATAAACATGATCACAAAGCCAAAGATCCTCTTCCACATGGTTCTCATTTGGTGTTTGAAACATAGACACCCCCTAGCAGAGATTTTATATAAGTTTCAGGTGGTGAGAGAATTTGTTTAATAGGAAGTGTGATAGTCAGTGTTTTAAGCTTTTTCTCTTCCCATGATGTTGGTCTGGCCCAAAGACGAGAGGTCACCAGTTCCTGCCTCTGCAGATGTGAATCCTCTAGTGTGAACTTTGGTCACAATGATGTAAGCTCCCTCTCCCAGTTTTCCAGCTGCCCAAGAAAGATGCTTTGATTCCAGCGGTGACCAAAACTTAGCACACTTTGTGCCATCAAGGAGAATTAAGACAGTTTCGTATCAGGATTCCTGCCCAATTTACTCATACTTTAGGAGTCTGGCTGTGCTGATGGTGTGGAAAATGCCACGTTTCACAGCACAGGCTCTAAGTCATTACAAATGCTGTTTTAAGGAGATTTCTCTCTCCTTACGGTTGTTATTCTTCATGTATTATGCTATCGTTCTACCAAAGCCAACATCTCAGTAGCTTATCTTGGCTGTTTCCCATACAGTCATTCTATAGAGAAGGCAGTGAGGAAAAGTCAGTGAAGCTGATAGTATCTTGTAGGCCACTGGGCTGGATATTTTTAAACATTACAGCTGGTTTTCAAGCTGCCTAAGGAATTTTCTAAGTCAGATCCCACTAACCTGTAGGGAATTTGAATGCCCGGTTCCCATTATGGCTTTGGAAACCCCACCCTACATCTGTGCAATGGTCAGTGCTTATTCAGGAGTCTTGGCCCTTTTGTAATAACGGATGTCCATGTTGAAAAGCACCATTGCAACTGGCAGCTGTTAGAATTCCTGCTGGCATGTACAGGGACAATTCAGCCTTTTGCTTGGCTTCCCTGATGAAGACTGAGATGTTTAGCAAGAGAGATCAAAAGAAGTTTGCCTATTGTTTTTGTTTCATGTGAGTAGTTGGCCAGTTTTCAGGGGTAGCTAGCTCTTTTCATGAGTTATTAACACATATATTAACAAATCTCTCGCACACAGGAGTAATGCAAACCTACATACCCTTTTATGAAACCACAATATAAAAGGAGTCAGTGGGGTTGCAATCA